TTGCATGTTTGCTGTGCCCATTCTTGCTCTCCCCTAAACGGACCCCCACTTTTTCCCCTCATTGCTTCTACCCACAGCTTCACATCCAGCAGCTGCCGCCAACAAGTCCCGCTAAAATAGTGGCCGTGTTTAGTCTGGCACCGCGCAGCAAGATTGATTGGCAGCTGGGTCAAACAAAGTCATTTTCTTGGCTCCTCTCCCAGGCAAATCTCTGCCTCGCGTTGGGTTAGCGGTATCAGGTCCCTTTCCAGAGGGGCTGACCAAAGCGCTCTCCTTATTCACCTCAGGTTCATTGCTCTGAATCCATCCAAACATTTGTCAGCTTGATGAAGGCTTAAACACGGCACAAAAGGATGCAAATGAGTGAGTGGCAGCCAGAGGAAAAGATTCAGCTATTGTTCTTAATGATGAGGGGTGGAACACGGATTGCTCCGAGCGGGCCCTTTCTGTTTCTGTACAGTGCTAAAGCCCAGTTATTTCACATTTGGCCATTTATCAGGCAGCAGAGGGACCTACTCACTGACAGGTTTACATCTGGAAAAGTGCGCTGTGGTAATGTAGGCCTGTTTACACCAAATTACACTTTAGACGCCTTTGAGACTGACAGCCGCACGCAGGTGCTTTGCCCTGTTGAAATGGGCCTTGGACCTGAATTTCTTGACTTCAAATTTGCAACGTGTTCTAAGTTAGCATAGGCTGACGTCATGGCTAATGTGATGCTTTTTCAAATCCTGTCTTTGTCATCATGTATCCTGTCTAAATGTTAGTTTTGTTGGCAGTGTTATTACCACAGTGCATAGTGCTTGTAAATTGTTTTGCTGCTGGAGATGGGTGAAAAAGTGGTATAACAACCTATAAATCAGTAAACAAAACCTAATTATCAACGAAGTTTACTGCCTGGTAGGAAACTTACTATGCTTTGCCTTGCCAGCAGATAAATAGTTTCGCTGTTGGGTACAAAAATGGTATATCAGCAATCAAATCAGTAAACAAACTAAGCATAATTATGTTCACTGCCTCGTAAACCACTATACTTTGCTGGACAGTAAACAGTCTCGCTGCTCAAAATGGGTGAAAAAAAATGCTACACCAACAAGCAAATCAGTAAACTAAACATAATTATACACTAAAATGCCTGGTAGACACCCGTTATGATTCTAATTCTAATGAGAGTCTACACTCATTATTTGCATTATACAGTTATAGAAGTTAGGGAGTTTCCAAGTTTTCTCAGTCCATCTTAAAGACAACAAGTCAATAAATTGCATTCAGAAAAGAAGGAAAAAAAGAAGAAACGAGACTTGAAACAGTCAACATGAACCCATTAACACACTTGTCAATGCAGGATTAGGTCTGCATGGGCCCATTCCTCAATTTTTCATGAAAGAGATCCAAAGCATTGGTCTAGTCAGAGCCATAAGCCTGGGAGATTTTGGAGAAGAGTGTGATGCATCTGCCAGAGTTCTATTTTTTGTGTGTGCAACTTTAATAGGATTCAGGCCCTGCTGAGGCTTATTTTCACTCGGTAAAATGCGGTGGAGTGTGCGAGTCATGAGTCCTGTCATATGTTTGAGTAATTGCTACGAACCGAGTGACTCCACGATTCATGTAACGCTGCCTTGTGGCCAAATAGCACGTGAGCGGACCCACTCAGCTGCTGCTTGCACTTTCTCATTTAAGATAAATGGTGCCATTGACTTCACTCTACATGTGTGCAAATAGCCAGTGTGTGGGCCAACACATCCACACATTGTTTCCCCAGATAAACGCCTCCTTAGGTTCCTACTTTTCCATACCGTTATTGCACTTTATGACGCTTAATTAGGTTTCTATTCTCATATGATGTATGAGAGACATTAGGCACTCTGTCTGTTGGAATTCTGCACATGTGGAAATGTCTAAACTTTAGAAAAGAACACTGGGTATCATGTTGATTAGGGGTTTACATCATAGGTAGACATTGCTTACATCATTTTGCATTGGCCTGACTAGTGATACACGCAAAACATGAACTGCATGAACAGTACTGTGCAGTTACAATTAAAAAGCTGTTTATCTGGGCAGCTATTTATCTGGACGTTATCTGGGCACTGTTTATTTGCTCATAAACATGAATATTACATAAATACAAATAATAATAACACAGTAAGTATTGATTTTACATAATGTGTTCATTTAACCATTTCCAAGCTTATTGAGAAAGTAATATTTATAGCTATCATTCAATACCAGGTTTGGCTGATCAGTCATTCATTATGTTAAATCAAGTATTCTGCTGATGGAATTTAACAAATTATGTGATGACTGAGGACATCCAGGAGAAATCTGGGACCAAATTTATTCTTTAAACTAGCTCGCAAGATATCAACTACTTTTTTGAAAACAAGAAATTCTTGTTACTTTGTTCTGTATTTGTGGTTATTTGTATTTATTCTAATGATATATGGTGCTTTTACAAGTAAAAGCATATTTATTGTAAAGATAAATGGGGGTAAACAATATGCTTAGGTGCCCAAAACCTTTGCACAGTACTGTGTTAGCCTACAGATGTATACATCCAGCATGCTTAATGTGCCAAAATGGTTCTTTGGAGTGCAGCCAATAAAGAATTAATTTTGTTTGGCTAAAAAATCGTTCAATAGATGGTTTGTTAAAGGACTAGTTTTGTAAATGACTTGTGAAGGTGAAGAACTTTTTTAAAGCTACAGTATATACGTTTTCTTTAAATATTGACAAAAAACATACAAAGTGCAGTTTTAAAATTGCCTAATATGAAGGTTTTTTCCTAAAACTGTGCATCTTACCAAGAACTCTATAGGAACCCTTATTTTTAAGAGTGTTTTGCAGTGAACACTGACCACCAGCAGGCCAATCAGTTAATCATCCAGCAGTAAAATCTTTTATAAAACATCATCCTTCAACAGGTTACACTTCACAGCTTGGCCTACAGTTTAAAAAGTCGAATTGACCAAAGTTTGTTTGAAACGGAAAGGCTCAAGTGAGAGTTATAAACAAAATACTAATTCTGGTCTTGATATGATATCTGAAAAGTTTCAATTGAATTGTCAAAGAACATGCCTTTAGGGTTTATTAGGGTTTATATAGGGTATATATATGGATTTTCCACTTTTTGTGCTTCCAACAGTGTCCAGGAATGATTCAGTTTGCTGGACAAATAAGCACAATTCTGTCATATAACATTATTTGTGCTAACATTGGACAGAACCTATATTGAATGCCAAACATTATAGGCTAGTACAAATGTTACTTACCACATATTAACCAACAGCCTTAAACAAATCTGTGTGTTAAAGAAAACATGTTTGTTAGTGTGGCTGCTAACAGCATTTGATTTTCTCTGTCTTCATGGCTGTTGCAGAGTTAAACATTAAAAAATGTATCTGACGCTTCTCAGCATGTTGAGATGCAAGTTTTTTCCTTACTCCTCAAAGTTTTAAACTGGAGCTTCACAGCCTGAACAGCAAACTGGAGAGCATTTCTCAGTCCATATTTCTATGCTTTATCATACAGGATAACAAGCAAATGTATTATTGACTGTCAGATCAGTATTTTGTTGTGCTGTTGCTCAAAATGTTTTTTACACTGTTTAAAGAAGAGCACAGATTTAACCTCCTTTGTGGATCAACAACTACTTTGCATCTGATTAATAAGAGGAAATGAATGGAGATTTGAGCACAAATGATGAATCAGCTTCAAAGCAAGTGCTGCCATAAATCAGCCTACCAGGGCGTTGTTTACTTATCATTTACATAAATCACACCCTAATTCATGCAGCTGTTTGGCCAATAAAAGAACAGCATTCAGAGCCAGTAGCTATGCTTATAGGTGGAGTCTGAGGTCAAGCAGTGCACTGCTTCCCCTACTGACTAAACTTTATTTGTTAAAATTAGGCCTCCTTGAGGAATAAAATGTATAAAATTAACAAATGCATGTATGTACAGTAATGTATTTCATATAAATTCATATAGATGTCACAACCATCTAAGGGCTGGCAGTTCAATCATGGAGTCCAAGACAGTACAACTGGCCTGGCTTTCTCTAAATGAATATGCATTGCTAGTCATGTGTTAGCTGACATAACACGATTGGCAGTTAGCATTCTCCTCCAAGCATGTTGAGCTGTCCAGTAACGTTGTGTTAGCAGCAGTGTGATAAGATGTGGTGCTGCTGCACGTGCCTGGGAGGAAGCACGTGTCAACCTTTATCCTCCCAACTTTGCTGCATTTTGTGATATTAAGAGTCTAATGGGCTAGATAGTGGGTTAAACTGGCCAGAGTTAAATTGGATAAAAAACTTTTTCTCTTAAAAGCTTATTCAGTGACTTTGAAATCCGATATGAGTCAATGGGGATTTCCCACCATTCATTAATTCATTTTCAAGTTTAAACTCGGTCCAGAGGCAACCAATAATTTGCAGCTTACTCTAAAACATGTTTCTGTAATTGAATTAGCAGTGAAAGCATCACTCACACAGCAGCTTTGCTCTCACTCCATAAAAAGCATCACTGTTTTCTGTCTACTGCTCATCTGAAGATGACAGACTTTTCGATTTGTTATGATGACATTTTGTAATGGAGATCATGTGACTCTCCGTGATTGATGTGGGAGAGATGAAAGTAGAAAAACAGGAGGTTAGCAATCATAGCATGGTAGATGTTTAGCATAGAATGTGTTAGTCTACTTTATGCTTATAGTTTTCCCTGGGAAGCCTGAGGATGTACAGTATTATCAAAGGACCGGTATGTTACATTTTTCTTTTTTTTTTCCTGAGATCCACTTATGGCATTTGTATGGTTTTATATCACAAAAACGATAATAATTCAAACGTGACCATTTTTCAGCCTGTCTTGTTTTTGTTTATGTAAATTTAACACTGATATATGTGGCAGATTAGTAATAGGCTAATACTAAACAGAGTATTGTAGTAGCATACTTTTGTGATATGAAAACTTGACAACATTATCTTCTTTCACTTTTCAGGTAAAAATGAAGGTTTGAAGATGACAACTTAAAAGAAAATGAGGACACTTGGCCTCAAGGTAAGTGCTGAGCTCTTCAAGTTATTCAGCTAATGTTTTAGTTAATAAATGAATAGACTGTCTCATCAGAAGAACCCTCTATAATCAAAGCTGCTCATATGTTACTAAAATCCCTTAATAAGTTTATGATGAAGAGAAATTTGATCTGCTACATATAAGGAGCTTGTATAGCACACTGCCAGTCCATGTTCTGCCAGTGTGTTTGGGCGTGGTTCATTTCTTTCAGCAACATTGCTCTTGGCTAATAAATGCGGAATCAGTGTGGAGCCACTTGTCATTAACCCGTAGATCCGATCTTGTGGTAAATTCAACAGCACAAGCTCGTCTCTATGGGTCTCTGTCTCTGTGGTAGACCAGCTCTTAGCTTTCTATCAGTTTACTTCTATGTATGTCTTTAAATGCATCATAAAGTCCTAAAAAGGGTGATATAGAACAGTGTCATACAGTCAGTGTATATATAAATAGTTAGACATAGAGTTGTAACCCTAAGCATTGTAAGATTTATGTTATTTTCTTTGTTTTATTTTATTTATTACTATTTTTACTAATTCATGTTAAGTCTAATGAATTCAATTGACCACTATTGATTATGAGTATGATTATGAGGAACTGTGTGCATCCGGGTTGAGGTAGTAGGTTGTATGGTTTAGAATTACATCCTGGGAGTTAACTGTACAACCTTCTAGCTTTCCTTGGAGCTCACTAAAGTCATCGAACAGGAGAAATTGCCCGTAATTGTTTATGTATTGTGCAAAATGCTTAGCTTGAGCTTAAACATTATGCATAATTAACTTTTAATGCCTGTGTACATGTACGTCTGCACAAAACTAGAGCAGAAGAAGAAATTTGTTACAGCTCCGTCTGCTTTTGAGAAAGTTGTGGCTGATGCTGTGTAGTATATACTACAAACCCAGTTCCAAAGAAGTTAGGACTGTATGTAAAATGGCAATAAAATCAGAAAGCAGTGATTAGTAAAACACACAAATACACAATATTTGATGTTTTACCTTTTAAACTTACTTCTTTTTATAAATATGTGCTCATTCCAAATATGATGCCTGAAACATGTTCCAAAAAGACTGAGACAGGAGCATGTTTACCACTATGTGACATCACCTCTCCTTTTAATAGTACTTTGTAATGTGACCAAAGAGACAAACTGATTCGGTATTAGAGGTGGAAACAAGTCTTCAGCTGCACTACCATATGGTGCCTTTATTGTCATATGTTGCTCTTTATAATGTGCCACTTTTTTAACTAGGATACAGCCAAGCCAATCTAGCACCCACACTCTCTGATTACGCAGCCATGCTGTTGTAACACATGCACAGTCATGTTGAAGTAAGCATGGATGTCCCTGAAAAAGACGGCATCTAAAAGGCAGCATATGTTGCTCCAAAATGTGTATCTTTCAGTGTTAATGCCTTACTGATGTTCAAGTTACTCACGCCACTGACACTAACACCCACAGACCATAACAGACCCTGGCTTTTGAACTTTACAGTGGAAAATGTCTGGATGGTCCTTCTTTGGCCTGGAGAACACAACATTCATTACTTCCATAAACAATCTGAATAGTTGATTTGTCAGACCACTCTACATGTTTCCACTGCGCATCAATCCATTTCAGATGTGTTCAAGCCCAGAGAAGTCTGGGTTTCAGGACATTGTTGCATAGGGCTTAGTACAGTCTTAACTTGCATTTGTGGATGCACCGATGAACAGCGTTTTTTAACAACAGTTTGTTAAAGTACTCCTGATCCCATGTGGTGATATCCATCACAGAAACATGTCGGTTTTTAATGCAGTGCTGTCTGAAGGGTTGGAGGTCACAGCCATTTAGTTGTGATTTTCGGTCTTGCTTTTTAAGCACAGAGATTTTTCCAGATTCCCTGAATCTTTTAATAACACTATGTGCTCTACAGATTGGAATACCTAATATCCACTTATTGAGGAACGTTTTTCTTTTTTTCTCATTCTTTCCTGGATGCTCCCAAGTATGATTACATCAGCTCTTTACATTTCACAGTGTTCCTAATCTTAAATTGCCCCTGTCTCAACGTTTTTGAAACATATTGCAATTTCAGAATGAGCAACAATAAAACATATAGTTGATAAGAAAAAACAATACATATCTTGCCTTTTACTGCTTTTCTTTAAGTACGGGTCAAGATGGATTTAGAAAATTGCTGCTTTCTCTTTTTATTTGCATTTCACCTACTGTCACAACTATTTTGGAATTGGGTTGTAGTACATAGTAATTTTTTAATATCACTTTTGATTTCCCAGTTCTTAAATGCAATTTGGAAATAAATGATCAAAGTGTCAGTGGTGGAAAGCTTTTTATATAGACTGTGATTAATTCTTTCAGTAATGCATGTCCAGTATTCTAGTATTCAAAGAAGTATGAATAATGATTGTCAGTAATGACAATGAACATAGTTCTTAAGCTAATTTAAAAGTGTTTTTCTACGGGCAAGGCTGAATGTAATTGAGTTTTTTATTGTCATATACATTGTCTTTTGCTTTACAGTAAAGGTGTTCTTTCACTGTATGTTAGCAGAGCTGTTAGCAGAGATGGCTAGTAACTAGTTCCATTTACATTTTTATGGATTTGTGCTTTATTGTTCTTTTTTTAATGAAAATTTTACTTATGCTTAAGTACATTTGTGAGAAAAGGATCCTGCTGTTACATTTTAGTCATTAAAGCTCCTCTTACTTTGGAGCTTTAGCATTTTATTCTAGACCAAGTATGCATGCAAAAGAGAAGAACAGAACTGAAAAAACTTACTTCCTATGCTAAAAGGTGCTGGATGTCTATCAGATGTTTAGCAATAATAATTGATACCCATAATGATAAATACATAAATTGTTAATCATACAAATACATGCTACAATACAGTAAAATGACTATAAACTATTCTTTTAACCTTCATAATTAGTTAAAAGAAATTGAAACAGTGTGTGTTTATGACCAGGTTTATGAATACTAGTTGATTTGTAATTCACAATGCATTGAACATTATGAGGCTTTTGGGCCAAGCTTTGTTATTAGTTTACAAATGCGTATAGCATGTTGCTGCTCACCGTTCAAGCAACAAACAATAAAAAAAAATAAGAATTATGAAAAAAAAAGTTTCTTCATTAAAATAAAATCTTCACTGCATATTCTTTATGATGCGCACAGAATTAATTCAATGATAGCCAATATTTTTCATACCCATTTGCCTTTTTATTTTAAACTGACAGCTGACCTTCACTCACAGTTTTGATTCTACTCTTGCCACCTAAAAACTCACATTGCAAAATCTCCATCTTACCAATAGAGGGTTTGGGAGAGTGACCAGTAGGTGACCTTGTTATCCTAAAGCTGCTGTACAAATGTTGTTTAGACTCAGACGTGTCACAGAGCTAGCTTTCACTTTATGGTCAGTAAATAAGCATAATGTGTGTGTGGTGCTCCGAGGTGTCATCGATTTGTCTGGAGCTGCTCCTTTCGCTGCTGTGTCAGAGACCTTCACAGATCAATGCAGACTTGACCTTTAACCTCTGCAAGAAATCAATAGCATTGACTTGGAGGCTTCTGGGCTGCATTGATAGAATGGCCTGGCGTTTATTGTGACAAGACTGGATAGTTATTAATGTTTGCACACATTACACTAAAGGCTGATCTTAAAAATGTGAAAATATGGATTTTCTTTAGTAGTGAGTACATGTTTTTGGTTATTAGTATGCAGTTCTTGGCAATAAAAGGCATGGGCATATAAATGCACTGAATTCAGTGAGTCAGTAGAGTTCTGAGTTGTCAGTATAGAGCTGGTTCCAACTATTTTTCAACATTTCTATATAATTAAATAATTAAGATGTAAACAGACTCTTTTAGGATGGTCTGATGTGAATTCTACATTCTAGAGAGACATACAGAGTCAGAATTGCTCACAGTGGTGGTGATAGGAACCAGATATCTGAAGAGTTTAATGCCTCGTACCAGACAGTAATTACATGAAATAGTTATGGCCATGCCGTCTGATTCCTGAGACACTGTTTTATGGTAGTTTTCACAAGGTTTTGGACAAAAACATATTTGTTAAAAGCCATTCATGGTAGACAGGTGCATGCAAGGCATTATAAGGTAAAATAGTACTCAAGGAAAATGTAGTTTTTTTGGATTTATCTCTATCCATCCATCCATCCATCCATCCATCCATCATCTAAACCGCTTATCCTTCTGGGTCGTGGTGGGGTGCTGGAGCCTATCCCAGCTGTCATTGGGCGGAAGGCAGGATACATTCTATTTTACTTTTATTAACATTGAATATGGAAGCTCAGAAGGCTTGTAGGTTCACTGGTGATTTTTACTGAAACTAAAATATATTTGCGTTGATGACATCATAAACCCTGGTTCCTATCATCGCCTTTGTAAACAGAATCTGAGTCGGTAAGTTTCTATACAGTGAACCATTTCACATCAAACCACTTTGAATGGCTTTGCTCTCATCTTAATTATGGAATTGTGTTGAATTTCTGAGAAATCAGTGGAATTTCCTTTGAGAAAAAAACATTATGGATACTGTGTGGTTATCAGCTTCTGGATGTCCAAAAAGCTAACTGAGGCCTTATAAGTTCAAAAGATGTCTCAAGATTGGAATAGCAGTAGAATCAAGGATGTTCTGTAGAAGCTGAAATATACTCTATATACTGCACTGCTAATGTGTAAAGGTGAGAGCAGAGGTCAGCAGTGCCCCAGACTCTGAGACTGAAGCAGTAATAGAGTTGATTGATTACAGGCACTAGTTTAAAGCTTTCATTGATTTCATTTGCTTTAATATTCCCTTGGTCCTGTAGAGACTCCAGTGTGTTCAGTCTGGGGTTGGGGGAGAATGGACTTGGACTTGAATTATGTGCTGTTGGGGAAATTACACACTGACATTTAGACCACTACACGCCACTGAGCAACCCTGGATGCTGCAAGGACATGCAGCATATGATACTGGGAATTAATTGAATCACTGGGTGCGCTGCACCATAACTGGGTATAGAAGCTTAACTGTGTGGCACTGCAGAGAGAGAGAGGGTTATAAATGATAATGAATGCTAAGTAAAAGCCAACACAATTACACTTGCAACACATGAGAATAGTTCTCACTTTCTACTGTTTCTAACTGTGGCAGGTTTGCCGTGTTTGCCAGTTAATTAGAGGCAGTCTCTCCTGAGCCGTACGGTGATAGATGAGATTGATCGCCGATGTGGATTCAGGAGGGTCTTTGTTAGACTCCGACCACTAGCTCGAGCCGAGACTTGCTTGGAAACTGAAGGTTATCAAACAGATGCTCTTCTTCTTGGCTTTTTAACCGCCAGACATTCGCCAATGTCTGAGAAGCAGCCCCAGTCTCGCCGACGCTCCGCAACCTCCAGACACTGCAGGACAGGGTGACGGATGGCTCCTGTGAGCCAATGGCAGCAGGCGAAGGGGTGGGAACTACCTGCTCACTCCACCCGCCACCCCCCCACCCCCATCTTCAGACCAGTCTGCGTCTGATTCAGCAACCAGCTCCCGTGTTCACCTCCAAACCTGATTTTTCCCTGAAAGATGGATGGCAGTGGCGAAGGCGTCTCATTCGGCCAGCAAAGCCAGAGGTAAATTGGGAACGGCTAATAATAATCTGCTCATTCCATTGAAAGTCACCTCTTTCCTCCCCCTACTCAGCCTCAGGGGAGGGCAGGGGGCTGCAAGCTTGGGGGGGGGGTTCATAGGGTAGGGGGAGGAGCTGGAGAGGTGATGAGAATAACATCACTTTTGTTTTGGCTGGGGCGATTGACTAGATTGCCATCGCAGATGGGAAAGATTTCAGTAACCATATTAAGCAAATTAAGTAATTGTGGTGGAATAGCTTGGGGGAGGGAGTACCACTATAGTCCTGGCAGCTGTTTAACACATCTGTACGTACTACTCGTCTGATAGGTCTTCTTGGTCATAGCACCTTCGAAATGTTACAGTGGCCACTCATAGAACCAGGCGTAAGTTTGCGCAAGGGTGTTCTGGGGTACGGGTTGGTTCAGGCAACAGAACGGGTTCCAAGGTTACAGTTTGACGAAGTACTATGGTCGAAAGTATACGTTAATCTGCTATGTGTTTACATACCATTGTTCGATGTACAACTTAACAGAACAAGGTTAGTGTGTCCTGGATGTGCTATATATGTATACATGTGGATGATGGTCATCACCTTGAGCTTTTGGCGGATGTAAGCAGGGTTAGAGGGCAGGGCAAGTCACAGGCAGACTCTCATGACCCTGCAGTATGCAGCGAGGACAAAGAGGAAGGACTGAGCGTCTGGCTCAGAGTGAGACAGCGAAGGGGGGGTGGGGGGTGTTTCCTCTACTCACAAAGACCAGCGACTGCAGAGAGACGTTCGTCCATCGCAGTCCGATCCGAAAAAGGGGAAACAAAAGTCTGGCAAGTCTGGCAACAGCTTTCCACTGTTCCGTTCTCATTTTTACCCATCTCATCTCACTGTGTATTCTTCCATTGCTCATGTGTAACTCTCCGGAGCATCGCGTCTCTATGTACAGTGGTAGAGCCTTTTTCCTGGGACTAGCGATAAGCTCCTCATGTGCAGGGATAAGCGACAGAGTCTGCAGCATGAAAGCCTGGAAGAGAGAGGATATTTGTCTCCTCTCTTTCCCTTCTTTTCTCTTTACACAGGGCGAGAGCAACAGTCGCAAACAAAGGCAAACAGTCCATAACCAGCTCTGGCTGCTGCAGACAAGCTCTCCTGGTTCTGCAGACAGTAGATGGTAGGAAAAGGGAGCATCCAGTCCCAGCGATGGTGGGAGAAGAGAGAAGGGTGCCGGCTGCCCTCCTCCTGTTCCCTGAGACCCTAACTCGTGAGCTCTGCTTCCAAAATCACGGGTCAGGAGCTTGGGACCCGGGTGGAGGGCTTAAGCAACACTGACCACAAGTCATCCTTCAGAAGCACGGGATGCATAGTTATCATTTACTGATCGGCTGTTTGCCTGCATACATATAGTCTTTAAAGTAAAGGTACCAAAAAGCGTTCTTTGGAGCAATGCCAGAAGAACCACTTTTGGTTCCCTGAAGAAGCTTACAATGGAGTATTGTCTAAAGAACATTTTGAAAATGAGATGTGAAGAACCTTAAAAGCGTAAAGAACCTCCACATGATGTAACCTGTATGTTTTAGCCATTTCTAGTATTTCTCTTGAATCCAGGGAATGTGAAGGTCCTAAAATTAAAGTTTTTTTCTGGAATTGTATGGCCAAGTTGAGAACTGTTTAGGGGCCTTTATATTTAGAAATTTTTGTTACTTCAATATTTCGCTGATGCAAAGAATTTAAAGGTTATATGATAAAAGCTAGGAAGTTTTTTTCCTAGAACTGTATAGCCAAACCAATAATTATTTAGGACCTTTATTTTGAAATATTTCTTGCACTTCATATTTCTTGCATGTCATAGATCTAAGTAATGAAAAGGTTCTATAATTAAGCATTTTTCCTAAAACTGTGTGGCCAAGGAACCATTTAGGAACATTTATTTTTAATAATTTCTGATACTAAATGTATCTAAGCAATATTGTTCAATTTTATATTGAACACAGTAGAACCTCCATATATTGACAGTGATCTTTTAATTTATTTACTTATTTATTTATCTGTTTGTTTCCTTGTTTGTTTGCTTGTGTGCAGCACATTTTGTCTGTTGCCGACTACAGACTGCACAGCAGAACAAGCTTTCTAGTCATAACATATCAGCTTATTGAGATACTCTGGTAGACTTTCACTGAATGCAATCAATTGGACATGTTCCTGGAAGACATATCTATAGACTAGGTAGTTTTTGTAACCTGAGCTGTATTTTGTGGCTCTTTCACAAGCATAGCTAATGCATTATGGAGTATATCAAAAGAAGAATTTACAGGAATGTAATATGAATGTAATACATTTGATTTGCATGCTGCCAAGCATATGGTTTACATTACACCGTGTTGGCAGGAACAGATGGAGAATGTAGAAGGGAAGTTAAATGCTGTTTGCAATAGTTTTGGGAAGAATGCGAGAGTGCAGGTCCATTAATTAAAAGCAGCTTGGCCCTTTTGTTATGGAATTATCATGGGGTCAAATGGTTCAGCATAAATTCAGCACTGAAGGTGGAAAAATCCCATAACAAATTCCATATCCTATCTATCTATCTATCTATCTATCTATCTGTCTGTCTGTCTGTCTGTCTGTCTGTCTGCATGTCTATCTATCTATCTATCTATCTATCTATCTATCTGTCTGTCTGTCTGTCTGTCTGATCTATCTATCTATCTATCTATCTATCTATCTGTCTGTATGAAAGTACTTAAAATAAAGCAGAATAAGAAACTGTATAACTACTCTTTTTGTTAGAAGTTTTATTACTATAAATAAAGGAAATGTAAGGCATATTTTACATTTTGTAACTATTTAGGCCTCATATTGCTTTTTCTAATTTTTTAAACCACTACTATTAAAACACAGGGCTTGTATTGACACTTTTGGAGTATATGTTTTATGTTTTACATAATTAACAGGTCGTAAGTATTTAATGTGTTCAGACAAAATTCAAACACAAATAAATGCATAAAACAAGTATGAAATGGCACAGCTGCTTCTATTTGTGCTCTTTCTTTGCTGAAAAAGGATTTCACAAATCAAGACAGACTTTGTCTAATATGACCTGGGAATGAGCTCAGCAGATGCATTTGGTTAAATCACGGCCCTCGGATCTTCTCCTCACTCTTCTCCAATTCTTCCATCAAAGGTTCTCTAGAATGAAGTGGGGAAAAAGCACCTAAAATTGCTACCTCAACAAAATTGATTTTCCACCATCTCATTATGCATTGCAATGTGACTTTATTTATTTATTAAACTTCACCCTAAGCTCTGTCAGTTTCCAGGTAATGGGAGGCTGTTCCACGAGGCCCCCAGCAACAGCGGAGTGATAGCCATCCACCATGAATACAAAACAGGCAGGCAGGGCACGATGAGGCTGGAAGTGCTCAGCTCAGCAGGGCATGCATGCTTACTGAGTGCCAGCCACCGTCTGTCTGCCTCTGCACTGACCCAGCTGAACGCACTGGCAGAGAGAGAACTTGCACAACCAAACAGCCTTCATGCTCTCCGGTTCCAACATAATTGTGTCGTTGTTAGCTGCATGGTTCTGTCACTGTGCAGCCTGGCAAACACTGAAAATTGTATAAAGTAGTACTTCCCCACCTTCATACTTAAATAACCCTGTCCCATACTGCTTAATGTTTTCTCTGCTCTGACTTCCTGAATTAAACTGAGGGTGGGTTTGTTTATTGGTTGATTCATTGAATCAAGTGTGTGGGAGCACATGGTGGGTGTACTCTAGGACTTTGCTTAATGGATGAACACTAGCATACTGTAATCATGTTAAGATACATTAATGCAGTATAAATGTATAATGTTGCTTTTAAAAAGGTTGACCATACAGTTGCTGGCCACTTTATTAGAAACCCCTACCTTGTACATTGTAAGAAGTCAGCTCAGCTTGAAATCAACATTCATACAAAGTCAACATTCTTTATAGTTATGCATTTTTTCTTGACTTAGTTTAGCCAAAATTTCTCTTTTAAAAAAGGACTGCATCTTAGGTTAGGTCAACAAAGTAGCTTACGTTGAGCTCACTCAAAAAAAAAGTAAACATGAAACATGACATTTATTTATTTATTTATTTATTTATTTATTTATTTATTTGGTGGGTTTTTACTCTGTTCCTTCCCAGTTAAATCAATGCTAATTCCCTTCTATACACAGGTTGCGACTCCCTTTATTACACAGTGTCCCTAGCCTTTGGGGGCTGAGGGTTTCTCACTTCTGACCAAGCTATGCAGATCAAATTGACCTGTTTTTATTTTTTACAGTATACCTCCACTTTTCAGTTACACACTGTAGCCCATCTGTTTATGCACAATCTGTGTGAGCCATCATCTTGCACTTCATCAGCGGTTAGTTTCTGACCACAGTGATGCTCATGGATGGACATAGTGTAGGGTGTATAGGGTATAGGGTGGACCTCCTTCAACCCAGCAGTGACAGTGATGTATATAACAACATTCATACCACAGCCACAAGCGCTACCATGCCACTGTCACATTAGTGTCACTATCTGCTCAAGAGAGATCCTGTGTTGAGAAATGAACAATAATAAGGGATAAAATGTGAGTAATATATTGGACAGTGATAGCTGGGCTGCAGCTGGTAATTGTACACCTATATAGTGGATCTTTGGTAAGTGGACCAGTACATGGAAGCACAAGGTAGGTGTTTTGAATAAAATGGCTGGTGATAATGAGAACTGAATTCAGTACGAGTGTAATGCTGGTATAACTGCCAGTGTTCAACTGTCACAAACCCACCAGTGTATGTGGCCTTAATGCAGTGTGTCATGACATTTTATGTCTGCCTGAGAACTGGAAATGCAGAAGTAGCTCAGATACTTTACTGTTTCTGTTCAAGGGTGGTGGGTGTTTGAAAATCACTACAATTAAATTACCACCCACAGTGTAAATTGGAGACCAGCATAACTGCACTCTGCCCACTGATGCTCAGTTTTAAGCCTGTAGATGTTTTTAGTATGGGTTACTTTGATGTGTACTACAATTGCAGGAATAAAAGATGTGTAGTATCCATGTGCAACCCTTCACCAATGAGTTACTTCTGTAGAGTTATAGAAGATCCATAGGCCATTGGTCCATGGTGTAGATGAAATATAAAACTATATAAAATATCAAATAATTAATGTAGATAAATTCTGAAGTTAACTTGGTCATAGCAAATTTCTTCCCCTTTTTCGTTGTTCTCATTTCTGTTTTTTCTGAAATCAGTTGGCCATTTTCACCTTATTAATCCATGTGCCTGGACATATTCAGCACAATTCATAATACAACGCCATTCAAATGATAACATTCTTGTCTTTAAATAATCTTTGATCAAAATGTAATGACTTCTGTCCTGCCTATATTATGTTTCACTTCCCCCTCGCACCACCCCAAGCTTTAAATGAGTGAAATTACTCAGATAAACTCCCTCGATACTGTGTTTCACTCAGAAATGTGTCACGGAATGGAAGGAAAATGCATTATGATTTCTGATTCATGTTTACTTGATGTGTCAGTTAAATTAGGTTAGCTAAACAAGAGACAACAGATCATGCAAGTAATACCTTCTTTTACTGTCCCAGATGTTCTATGTATTAACCCGATAAGTGTGAGGTAACTTAAAAATAATAGATCGTTATTTTGGGTAATATGATAACATGAGACAGTTTAACCCCTTAAATGGCCAAGACCCCTCAGTGGGTCCAAAGTTTTACTACACAGTGTAACCTAAGAATAGCCAGCTTGCATTGAAGTCCATGTAGTTACTGATTAATAAGCCTTAGTATGTAATAAGCCTGGGATTTTACAGGGTTAATGATAGATATTAACTGAGCAAATATAGGGTACAATCTCCAAAGTGCTGCATGATTACTTTGGCAGAAAAAATAACGATGAGCGGCAAGACTGTCTAAATTACAATGAAATACCAACAGGTTCAATCTAGTAGTCTGATAAGGGACATAATAAAATACCTCATTACTATTTGGAATGACAAGGTGGTGGGTACAAACATTAACACACACTAAATTCCAATATAAAATACTTCCAAATACCAGGTAAGTCATATAGACAGAACAAAATGAATTAAACATGGTAAGGTAAATGGTAAGGACCCAGTAAAACCATAGTAAGAATCATCACTTTTCTTTGACAGCCCAGATTTAGTTTTGTTTAGAGGTAATAAACAAATACATACTATATAAAGGTCTTTGTACTTTATTTGTGTCATATATACCCAGTACTCTTTACCCAGAATAATTACAGTACTTTGGAGATTGTACCTCCCACTTGATCACTTCTTACCTAGAACTTGTTGGGAATTGCAGTGCAATATAGTTAGGCTGTCTTGGAGTTTACCATCATGTTACCCAAAATAATTACCTAGCACTATGTACCTCACACTAATCCAGTTAATACCTAGAACTTAAGGGACTGTAAAAGAACACATTACCACCGTGCCTTGGTAAAGTTTATTACTGACCGAAAACCTATACATGGGACTGGTAACCTTTGAAGACCATTTAGGTCTTTCTCATCTTAACCGTCCTAAAGGGCTTAATGGCAGCATTATTACAGATGCAGAGAAGATTTGGGAGAAAATGCACTCTGCATAAAAGGCTGCTATCAGGAATAATTTAAGTTAGGAATAGCGGTGGAGTAACTGAAGAAGCAGAAGCAGAAATGGAGAGTAATTTCTTTAGTGCGGTGCTGGCACCAGACCCAATTGAAGTGATTATTTAAATGTGTTGTCATACCAAGGTGAGGTGAAGGGAAGCCTTTCACTGGCAAAGTAACTGGACAGATAATGCTAGCAAAAAGATTTGTGCTGAAGAGAACATCTATTGTCTCCATTTCCTAATTGAGAGTGCAGTGTCAAATAAGGACAAAGCTGTGCGCTGGCTGGCGCTCTCTCTCTTTCTCTCTCTCTCTCTCTTCTCTGTCTCATGCACATACACTTGGAGAGAAGGTGAGTTTGCTGATGCCTGGATTTTCAAACACCGCAGCATGGCTTCAGACAGCCACCAGAAATCTCAGCTCTACGTTTATCCTCCCACTCTGTCTATATGTCTCTAATAGAATGTAAAAGCTCCAGCTAACTAATGTGGACTGAAAGCTTAAACACATTGCAGATGCAGAAATTAACCAATATAAGACAGGCCTGCCTCATCTCTTGGGCTTTTGGAAATGCTTAATGTTATACTGCTTGTAATAGAATCTGATCATGCTTTAAAGGAATAGGTCAGTCCAGAATGCATGATATTTACATTATTCCAGTTAGTGGTTAGTAGCTTCCATTGACTGCTAGCCATGTTGTCCTCACAATCTGGATGTACAGATGTTCAGTTAAGAATGCTAATGGTGTCAATAGTGAGTGAAAGTGAACAGTAACTGAATACCATGATGCAAATTACATTATACTATTTGGTGGTTACTAGGTTAAATTCCCAATTATCCATGCTGTTCTCACTAAAGAAACAGTTCAGTCAAAAATGCTAGAGTTGTTAACAGTGAATGAAAGTAAACAATCATTAATTCGCATGATACAAATGGCAATGCTAATTGGTGGCCATGTTAGCATATTTGGCATAAAGTTATCATAGCTGCTCATGTATAATCTCTAAGAAAGATGTTCCCCTTTTCATGTCCATAAAGACCTGGATCAGTTTTTAAACAGAAATTACCCATTTGTACTGATCTGAGAGGAGTTGTGTATGTTTTCTTACAGTCTTTGTAGTTAGCACGTATTTCAGATCAGTATATGCCTAAACTACAGTATAAATATATGTATATGCCTAAACTACAGTTTAAAATCGTATAAAACAACAAAAGTTTGTTGTTTTATTGCTGCTGTTGGAACCAAACCTTGGATAGGGAACTTTATAGGAGAAAGAAAAAACATTCTTAATTTGGAATGGAAGATAGAATATAGAACTAGATTAATTAATTTCTAGAGGACTGTTCATCATGAAATTTGTCATAAATGGCAGCTGACATTGTCAAATTCTGAAAAAAAGTACAAAACAACAAAAATAGAGATAAGAGGTTTTTGTTACAACAGCAGCGATATGCAGTAACTTACACAATGTAGATTTATTTGTTATACACTATACATCTAAAGGAACTTTTGCACATTTTATTTAATATTTCAAGTCTTTTGGAAGAATACAAAGTTATTAGATGATAAATAATGTGCTGAAATGATCTACAATTATTTAATAATATGAGGCCTTCTGGATATTAATATAACTATTTTAAATGCTATACTGCTTTCTTATTCTTTTTAGAACCTGTGCTCATAATTGTGGTTATCATGGGTATAGTCACATCCTTAGCGCCCTCTACTGAACTGCTTAAGTGGGGGTTGTCATGACAACAATGGCAAAGAAGTTTGTGCCTTGTTAAACAGGCTATAGATTCTCAACTTCAGACTCTCTCTGCTGGGTTGGACAGCAATGTTGATGATTTGGACTCTTTATCGTCCAATCAATTACTACATTGAAAAGGTAATATAGTAAATTTACTATGATTCAAATGTGCACATCATCATTTCCACATGAATTAAACATATATATCTTGTCTTTCAGTTGTTGTGCTTTTGACAGTAATTGTGTGAATGTATGTTTTATTCAGATGTGCACATTTAAAGTAAGCTCATGCATTTCTTTCTACGCTGTA